CGGGGGGACTCGCTTCTGAAGGAAGCTCTTTGCTCTCGCCGGTGGAGCCCTGGGACAAGAGCGTGTGCGAGCACTTCACGCGTGTGCGTGGAGAACATGTCCTCTTTACCATTCGGAGTGCGTCTGCTTCTCCAACTCGTACCAGTAATGTGTGTCTGTCTACCAGTGACTGTCAGTGTGTGTGTGTGTGTGTGTGTGTCTGTGGGGGGAGAGACAGGACAAAATAGGTTTTTCATCAGACAAAGTATGAGGGAGTTGATGCGAAGGAGACGGATGGATCTCAGTCACCGGACTATCAGCAGGGAAGCAGCAAAACACACGCACACGCTACACACACGCTACACACACGCTACACGAGAGCTATCAGCTGTTCAAGGGGAGATTTGTTGCACCGTGTGTGTCCACAGTAAAATTATCCATTCGATTCTTTAGTTTTAAGGCATCATTTTCTTTAATGTTCCTTTGTTCTTTTGGTATTTTGATCTTTTAGGTGAAATGAAGTAAAACTACGTACTTTAAACTTCTTCTCACGGTCACTGACTAAACAGCCATGTTGCTACGGCGATGCTGATGGCCCCTGGGACCGAAGATAAAGTTGGTCTTACGCTGCCAGAAGGGACTTCTCACGTCCAAGTACTCAGGTCCGTAATCTGGCAGCGGGTCTGCTGAGCCCTTCTTTGGTCGCGTCATTCTTTCAGGGGACGGGTGGAGGAGCAGGACTCAAAATGCAGACTTCTCAGAAAGCAAAAGACTTTAATAGTCACAAGGCCAAGGGGGAAAAACACTGGAACCAGGGGAAAAACAGCAGGCAGGAAACTACGGACATCCACGACGACAGACAATGACGCGACAAGTGACGCAAGAGACACGCGGCTTAAATACACAAGGGAGGTGCAGGTGATTGGACACAGGTGGAAACTATTAGACGATCACAGGGGATGACGGGACAAGGCAGGAAGTGAAGTTACCCGGGGACACGAGTGGCAGTGACAATGCTGGAGTTCATCTCCCTGTATCATAAAACAGCTTCAACCATTAATTACTATAAAGGTCGGTAGAAAAATGTTTTAATTGAAGAAATCAAATGATTTCTTACTATAGATCACGTTAAAGATGTTTTCACAATCCAAACTTCAGTCCGTCAGAAGCACATCAGGCTGTGAACATGTGACACATTCTCAGCTGTGCTGCGTCATTTAAACCAGGAAGACTCTTCTGATCTGGTTCTTGTTCTGTTTTACAGATCCTCCCTCTCACCGTGGCTGGGTGATTGCTGTTTGCGTTGTCATTCTTGTTGTCATCCTAATTGTGGTTCTATCCGTCTGGCTTTATAATGATCGAAGGAAAAGAATCGGTAAGTCCAAGTAAATATTCCAACAAATAATCTCAACATCTGTAAAATCCTCTTTGTTTCCTCTACATAGAAACTCAATGTCTCCAAGTCCTCCATAACTATGTACCCACCTGTTTGGTTAAATAGCCCAATATCACAAATCACAGTTTGCCTCAGAGCGCTGAACAATCTGTACAACACAGGACGTCTTTTACTGCATCAGATAAGGAAACACGTCTGTTAAAATATACATGTATGTGATGTGTATGTGACATATATGTGATATTTTACCAAAAGGTGCTTTTTATCTCACTGGGATTGTCATGATTTGCTGTTTTGATACAAACATCCCAACACATCAAATCCAACACGTCAACATGTGCTTCTGTTTGATGGAGTAAATTAGACACCACCCAAAAGATGGAGTCACTTTATCTGCAGCTCAAGTAAAGTAAATGTGCAACAGTTCAGATCTTTAAAGGGCTGTTTGTTCTTCTTCCATCACTGACCTGCAGGTTTAACACAGAAACATGAACTTTTTCAGGAAGGAGCTGCTTGGTTAAGCGTTACGTTTTTAAACTAATTTAAGGCATTTTTAGGATCCAAACTTTGCACCAAGGTTGTTTCCAGGTGACTTCGTGCTGCTACATCCACACATCTGCTGCTTGCTTGTGCTCAGATCCGTGGAAAATAGAACCATTAAGAAGTCTCAAGTCACCTTTTCTTACGTATGTGATTTATCCTGCAGAACGAAACATCAGCACCTCAGAATGAGAACTCCACCTTCAGCTCGGTGGGACTTCATGCTGGATCGATTCAGCTGGAGAGCTTCTACGCTGAGGTGGAGAAGCCTGACAGGTCCGTCAATGATTAAAGGGGAATGTTTTTCCAAATCCTGTCATTCAGCTGGTAGTTTGCAGAGTTATTGAAGCTTTCTGTGTTTTAGTTCATGTGATCTGCTTTAATCCTGAAAGATTCTCCTCCACACAAACGTGTCACAATTGGAGATTTTAGTAATTACATATTTTACATTTAAGATCAATATAGAAAAAGTAAGAAATGCTTCTGTTTTATATTTTTATTATTTTAAAAAAAACATGAATCAAATGTTTTAACTGTGACAAATATATAAAACAGAGAATTATGAGATAATTGGTTTTATAATTTCAATTTTTATCTCATTTTGACTTTCTAACCTATTTTTTTTGGGAGGAAGCGGGAATTCACAGATACGAATATGTGAAACAGCAGAGAATTTAAGAAATATATTTTTCCATAACATTTAGTCATCATTCAGTGTATCAAGTGTCTTTACTATAATAACATCACATATTGATTCTTTGGTAAAAACTCACAGTAAACCAGAGAGGAACACGTGACCTTTTAATCACTGAAACACAAGATCAGTATGAAGCTTCAACAAGTTCTAAGTTTCCACCCAAAACAAAACCTGCTGAACAGAATTATGTACGAGTAAATACTGTACAAGCAGACACATATGCAATGTATTTATTGGTCAATGGGACCGTATGCAGTATATTTAAGGTTTTGCTTACATATAGTTGGTCTTGATTATACATTCAAGATAACATTCACCAAAAACATATTGACATGGTCTTGTGTGTGTGATATATTGTGTATAATCAATGGATTATCAGCATGTGTTTTAAAGGTGAACTATGATTTTTACATGAAGTTTTTTCTTGCCAAAATGCATCTTAGTCACGTTTTTAATGTCTTTCCTTCACCAGGAAATATCTGCAAAGCTGAATTTATAAACCCTTTAAATCCTAAATAGTTTGCGTCCATGTTTGCTGCTCTGCGCTCGTCTTCCTCTTTTCTTCTCCTGGTGTGTTGCTGCCACCAGCTGTGAGTCAGTGGAACATCATCACGGGTTTAGAAGGTGACCTTTAAGTGGGAGCTTTCCTCCCGGGCAGCGTGACGAGTTTGACATCCATTTCTTTGTTGGTGCTTCTTGAAGTCCACGAGGTGAACAGTGATGACGGCAGACACCATGATGATCAGACCCACAGAGAACACCACCATCTTCACCAGGAACACGCAACCTGAAACACACCACAGGTGGATTCATCACAAACACAACACGTCTGTGCTTTCTGCTTGAGTTTGTATTTAACCCCTGCGTCCCTGACGAGGAGCTTTAGAGACGCTCAGAACTCAGAATTCACTCAGAAAACACACAATCGTTTCTTTACAACACAGAAAGTCTGAAACTACAAACTTATCAGGAAGTCGTCTCCTCTTTCAGTCTTACCAGCATGTTCGGGGCAAAAGTGTTCAGTCGTATTGAAGTCGTGGGTCCAGTGAACCTGGTTGCTATGGATACAGATGATCACTTTGTTCAACAGGTAGACCTGGAGAGAAGCCCCAGAGGTCGTGACCTCTGATCGCTCTCCTCCCTCCTGACTGCAGACCCGGTCGACACATCTGAAAGTGCTGCTGATGTTTGAGTTGTGAGTCCTGCAGGTCACATGGAGGTCACATGACTCTGAGCTGCTGGAGTCCACTCGGTCCACGATCAGTTCAACTGGAGACACTGGTCCTGAGGGGGGGGGAGGTTTCTGTGAAGAGTTTATGAAACATGGCGGCAGAAACTATCAGTGAAATGTTTACAGACTCACCTTGAACTGTGACCTTGTATTCAGCTAGTTTGTCTCTTTGAAGTGTTCCTGCTTCAGCAGAATAAACTCCACTGTCGACCTCTTGTACATTCTTCAATCTCACAGAGAATTTATTCTCAGGAAACTCAAACCTTCCAGTGACATTATGAAGGACATTTGGTTCCCCAATAAGTGGAATTCTTACTAAAGTGACGTTTTCATTGAATTTCCAGTCAACATATAAAACCCCCTCAGGAGGATCAGCATGAAGCTTGATGAGCAGATCACGTCCCTTCAGCACAAACACAGGAGTCACAATGGTTCCTGTAAAAACAGTAGACACATGATACAATAAACACACTAATGATGAATCGTTCACTGCTGAATGTTACTCCATCACTACACTTTATTTATTACACATTGAACCAGCAGTTCACCTTCAGCTCATCATCACCTCTCAATGGTTGCAAGACGTCTTTAAATGTCTCACTGAGGACAGAGGACTGACTAAGGAGGTGGAACAATTGCCTTTAAGTTCTCACCTTGTCCTTCACTCCTCTCACGCAAACTGTTGTTCCCCAAACTTTAGTCAGACAAGTCATGAATGTATATGGAAAGCTTGTCTGATTGTTCACTCATTTTGATGCATTTCTCCTTTTCTGTTTGTGTTTATATAAGAAGAATAAATAAGTTATTCAGACAAAAGTTTAACATTTTTATATGTATTGTAAAGACGTCATAATTTATTTTAGCATACTACAAATATTTTGGTACATTTAGTTATTTTCTCTTGCTAAATCTCTTACATTGTTGTATTGAGGCTTTGTCTTTAATTCTTAATACTGAAAATAAAATAAATGTTTGCAAAAAGAATTCGAGCAGAAGTTTTTAATTTGTAGTTTTCAGGTTATTATTCTTTACACCAACTGCAATTATTACCTTAAATAGTACTTTAAGACTTCAAAGTCTGTAACGTTAAAACAAAGCAGAAACACATTAAACTTTTTAAGATTCATATTAACTTCCCTCAAGGTTCAGAAATCCTCCTCCTTGAATGTTTGACATGTATACACATAAATATTATGTATGTATTAATTAATTAACCCTCGAACTGTTACAAATTATAAAATACGATTTATAATTTATTTTATACTAATAGCTGCCTTTCAGCACAAAATCGTTGTAGCCACCAAACGTTGTTTGAATTTTTCACTAGTTTTGAATTTTTATTTAGTTTTGAGTTTTGGTTTTCAATTTCAATTTAGGTTTAATTAGTTTTTAAAGCCGGTTTGCTCGTTTAGTTTTTATTTTTTGAAAATGCTTACACTGAAAAAAGCGTAACAAAGCTGTTGTTCATTTAATGTGTTTTTTTTCATTCCAATGAATAAAAAAAATTACTTTGCTCTATTAAACTAAACTTTTTTATTTATGGGTTAGGGTTTAATCGAATTTTTTACTTTACTACAATGTAAACTGATAGCAAGGCACCAAACTGATTTTTTTTATTTTAATCAAAGCATTTTTATTAGATTGAGTGATTCGCGCATGCGCATTTTTTAAAAAGTTCTGGCGGAAACTTATTTCCACCTCAATCTTCCATTGCAGAAGACGTTGTGAAAAATATCAGACCCCACGGCATTTCGGTAACGTTAAGGTAAGTCATTACGATTTTTAAAGATGACTGGGCGAAAATGTTAGCCCGCAGACAAAGTGTCTGTCTTAAGTGTCTTAAGTGTTTGCTTTTGTGGGCAATTAATCGTGCGGCTAGGGTTGGCGCTGGGGGGAGGGGGTTCGCCGTTCGGGAGGGAGGCGGGTGAGGTGGGAACAGATGGCGGCAGAATACCAGTGTTCCAGTCGACGTTTACATTCTGAAAAGCGTATATACGGCGTTAGCGCGTAGCTAACTACCTAGCTAAAACTATATACGGCGTTAGCACGTGGCTAACTAGCTAGCTAACACTATACACGGCGTTAGCATCGTAGCTACCTATCTAGCTAACACTATACATGGCGTTAGCACGTGGCTAACTAGCTAGCTAACACTATACACGGCGTTAGCACGTAGCTAACGGGCTAACGTTAGTTAAAACTCCCGGTGTAAAAATAAAAAAAATGTTCTTGTGACTTTTGGATAGTGGAATAAATATTACTGGTACTGTGGTGTTTACTGTGCTATTGTGCTGTGTGTTATTGCTTACTGTGCTGTATTTTCTCGTTTTGGTAAAGCTAAACTGACCTGTGTAATAATGAAGCAATTTAAATAATGTTTTGTCAGGTATTTTATTTCATAGGCATAGTAAATCCGATTTAAAAAGAACAGAAGGCATAATAATGTTTTGTCATTTTTAAACTGTATTAAGATGTAGTTCATGTAACATTGAGAATATCCATCATTAAAACGTTTTTTTCTCTTAATTTAAGGAGAGCTGCCACAAGATCCACTGTGTTCCTGCTGTCCCTCATCTTATTGTAGTAAGTTCTGAGTACAATATCATGAGTGTATTTGTGATAATTAGATCACTCTCCTAAAACCGTCCTTTCCTCTGTCTTTTTATTTTTCCTCAGTTATCCATGTATGTGGAAATGTAAACTACAGAAAAACAACAACCGTCAAACAATAAAAGAAAAGATGGCAAAGACGTTTGGATACCGTAGACAAGAAAGTGCATAAGCAGCCGAGCATTGAAGACATGTTGACAAGATGGCCAGCACTTTTTCAGATGGAAGAGGTATGTTTTCAGATGCAAGGCACTGTAAGCCTATTTTTGAGAGGAGAGGGACTTAATATATTTGTTAATGCCAATGGTGTTCAGCATTCATGAAAGATTATTTTTTTTTAACCTTAAAAACTTAGGTCTTTTCAGAGGAGAATTTATTTAATACACTTTTTAAAAGTTCTTTCTGCGTGCTCTGTTATTGTTTCTCCAGATTAATGCTGAGTTCATGCGGGTGACAACAGTACCCTTGGAGACAAAGTACTTAGCGCAGTTGGACAAGCACACGTCAAAACTGCTAGAGGTCATCAGGAGCAAGGGAGGGCGTGTGAAAGAGCTGACCAAGGCAACTTTGCAGGTTTTAGATGAGGTATCTATTTATGAATTGGTTCTTAATGCGATCCATAGTTGAATAGTTGGTGTGTATGTGCTTTTATTAATACCTATATTTCCTCAGACCGTGGACATCACAATTAGAAGAGAGTGCATCTTCAAATCTTTGATGATCTACCTGGGTGAACCTGTTCATCATCTCATTAAAGACTGCCAGGTAAGGGCATCTCCCTCACTAACACAAACAATATCTATATACCAACTTTGCTTCAACAATGATGTTCAGCATTGGCATGCATTGTCTTCAGCAAATGTTCTTTCCAATTGTCCTCATTTCTTGTTTTTTTGTGTGTGCAGGAAAATGAAGCAGCCATAGTAATCGTCAGTGGAAACGAGGACATTAAAATCGTCATTGACGGAACAGAGGTCCTCAGAGAGGTGCCCACAATAGCAACGGCTGTTGCTATGTTCTTCGGGCTCACCTATGTTCTCAACATAAAATATCCCAAAAATCTGCACTATACCCTTGAGTTTGTGCAAAAGGTCCTGATGAAGCTTGGTGGAAAAAAGATGTCCCCAAAAATTCCATAGTAGGCACAGTAGAGTTCCACTGTTAGGCCTGATTTAATGGCATTTCTACAACCAAGACTTTGTACCGTTTTATCTGGGGTTGGTGTTTGAAACACTTGCACAACTACATTTCTGCTACAGTATGGACAAAAGAATCTGCCTAAGGTTTCACAGGCACAAGTGGGTATTGTGCTGGAGAGCACTGATTTGTTTATTGCAGCATTTTCTGACCAAGAGGATCAGGAGCTACCTCACTCGTTTGCAAGTTATGGACTGAGCTGAGGACGTTCACACACATCACTTTTGATTTTAAGGAATAATTCCTCTGACTGTATTACATTGCATTTTCAAATGGTCACTGTTCAGTGAGAAAAATGTTCCCAAATGCTGTTGGTTTACTTGAAAATGCATGTCTTCATTACTGTTTGTGTTTGAGATGTGATGGTTGAGAAGCACTGGTTTATGTTAATACAATGAGATGTTGCTGTTGTATTTGAGGGGAAAAGACATCATTGAGAAGGACCGTTTTTAAGGTGGGACTATGTTGAAAAAAATGTTCATTCAACAATAAATGTGTTAAAAAGGAATGGCTTCTGAGTTTAAATCAAAATGTATTAAAATATCTTTTTTTAATTCAGGTCTATAAATATTAAAGTATCACTTTAAATTTTTATTTGAGACAACTTAAAAAAATAGTTTTCTCCGATATTCAAAAGTTGTTTAAATGAATTTAAAATATTCAGGTTTAACAAAGTAGATTATTTACATTAAGCAATAAAACCAATGTATTTATTTTAATTTAGGAAAATCTGAAATAATTGCTTTGGTTCAACCTTCAGAAATGGGTTTACACGAAGTTAAATATTTCAGGTCAAATCAAATGAATTATTTATATTGTATAACACTAGAATATTAGTTGTGATCGATTACCTCAATTTTTCTAATTTGAGCCAATGTTAGATTTTTTTCAGTGTAGCTTTAGTTTAGTTTTTATTAGTTTTAGTCTTTACCGCACAATGTAACAGACCCAGGGGGGGGGCGCGCATTCAGGGAAGCTTCATTTTTTGCTTGCAAAACAAAATGCTCAAAATGAATTGTAGATACAAGCTATAACAAGTAATACAAATTCAACATACCATTTTAAAAAATGTATTTAGGACAGATGAACAGCCATCCCCAAAAGACAACTATGAAATATGTGTCAGTCAGTGCGTTTGTGTCATTAACCAGAAAAATTCCACCGGACACAAAAATATCAACATAAAATGTAGATATGGGTACAAATATTTTAACAGTCTATACCAGATGCAATAGCCAATAGACTAAAGACACGTGAACAGCATGTACTAAACCCATTAATGAGCCACACATGACGTTGCTTGGGAGCCGGGAGTCTCAGGGAGCTCAATCTGAAAAAAACAAAAAAAACAAATCTAAAACCCAATAAAAACTCTAGAGCAGAGATTCCCAAAGTGTGGGCCGCGAGAGGTCATTTACAATAAATAAAGTTTTCTAATTTTCAATTTTGAAAAGTTTGAAATTAATATAAAAATATGTATGATGGGGAACATTAGGTATGTGAAACATTAGTTGATGAAGCACAAACAATTTAAACGGACAGATTAATAAAACAATAAGGCTCTCGCTCGAAACGGCTGCTCTCGTCCGCCTGTCGTTGTTCAACAAACGCGGCGCCCTCTTGTAGTATTAAAGTCAATATACCGCATTTTCCGCACTCCAAGGCGCACTTAAAAGCCTTTAAGTTCCTCAAAAAACGACTGTCGTTATTTTGAGGAAATTAAAGTCTTTTAAGTATATTTATGGATCAATTGGTTACTCGGTTGATCCACTCTGGTTGTACACTCTGCCAAACACGCCAAAGCTCGTCTACGACGGCGAGATGCTGAGCGGCGCTCAAGCGCGTGAGATACGGAGCTGCTTTCAGGGCGCGTCGGAGAAACAAAACTGTCGTTCTCGCCGAGCACTTCATGAGATTAAAGAGCGAGACGGCGCCGTTTATTTACAGTAGCTGAACCATCTTAACGGGGAAATAAATTATTCTAGAAGGAGCCGAAGATTTAAGGCGTGGATGGCGAGGGGGGCGGCGGGAGCGGACGCACCTCGCGGCATCGATCGGACCCTGAAAGCACCGTCTCACCTGCCAAACAGAACCACAGCGAGCGCGTAGAAAACTCCTTCGAGCGCGAGCAGAGATTCTCCTCGCGAGCAACGAAGCTCACGTTTCACAAGCGCGCAAATACCTCGCGGAGACGGACTTTTGCTCGCGCGAGACGGACTTTTCACACCTCGTTTTCTCGTTAGTTTTCGTTAACGATAATAACCTTGGTCTCATCTCAGTATTCTAGAGAGAAAATAGTCCCCGTACGTGCGTGTAAACAGCATCGGGTCCCGCATCATCTCATTCGTTCACATCGCTCATGAGTCCACCGTAATTGTCCGGTTGCCTGAAACTGATCATTTGTGGGATTTCCCTTTTTTTTCGGCGATCACCACCGAGATAAAAGCTAAAAACTAACTGTAGCGCAAAATCTAACGTGTTACTTTGAGTGCGCAGTGATACTGAACGCTCGGGTCAGCTGTATAACATGTGACCCGCTCTCAACCAATCAGAAGCCTGGATTTCATCTACTCGTATTATAATGACCGATAATCTATAACAGGTCTTCAACAGGGGGCCGCCAAATGTTGTTAAGACTTTTTTTTTAAACCAATTTTTTTCCCCACAAATTTAAATGTCTTCAGAATCAGAATGTTATTCATGGTCTTTAAATACAAATTAAGACGTTATCTTTCAGTCCACAACACACACATTCAGCTTCTCAAGCTGCTCACTGGTCCGTTCACAGGATCACATCGCGTTTATGCTCACGGCTAAAGAGTGCAAAGCTCCAAAATAAAAGATGACGGACCAAACTCCATAGAATGGGGGTCGCTGCTCCATCTCGCCATCAGTTTGGGGGTCCTTGGCCAGAAAAACGTTGAGGACCCCTGATATACAACATATAGAATAAAGACCTGAGTGCTTAGTTGGTTTCTCACCTTGAGCCTGAATGCAGACGAGCAGCCCGAGTATCACAAAGAGAGACATGACGGAGTCTCCGACCCCACGCTGCAACAACCGGTGTTCTGCTTCACAATAAACTAACAGCTGGCCTCTGATTCAAAGAAGCTCGGAGACGTTTGCACACAGCTGCTCGTCATCAGGCTCCTTTTGAACTTCCTCTCTGACGGCTTGAGTTCTGTTCCTGTAAAGAGAGATTTAGTTCAGCCCTTTGTCAAGGAGGCTCATTTACACCTCAACGTTCATCAGAGGAACAAAGTAGGCGGACACCGGATCCTCCTGCTGATTAAGACCTGGGAGCAAAGTGCTTCCAAAAGAAATCAAAGTTCGTTAATAAAAGGCCAAGTGCCACTGAAATAAAAATCACTTGTGGTCGAGGAAAACACTATGTACTAAACATAAGAACCCAAATGTGGTAAAGCTACAGATGCTCACATACACTGGTTCCTTGACGTGAGACGAACTAGGAGTGATGTGTTGTTCGTAAACGAATCCTTACAAGGACTCGAGAGTAACGAGTCCTCTCAAAAAAAGATTTGTTCATTTCTCGTTCATACTGAACGAGATTCAAAGAACCGAGTCGGTAAAAAGATCCGAACTTCCCATCACGACGAACTAGCACAGGACAAAGGGAGACGCAGACAACAAATGCACACAGGTTAAAAGGCACAGGTGGAAACAGTCAGGGGCGGGCAGACAATCAGACCAGCACACGGGGGGAAGGGGCAAGTTGCCTGAAACGAGAGGGAGGTTCATTTTCAAAATAAAACAGGAAATCACGAGACACGAAACAACTTGACTAACCCCGTTTCCTGGACATGACGTTAAATCTACAGACTGTGGACACAGCAAGTGGACGTGAGCCAGAGGACGAGCACCACGCCACAATGTACCTCACCTGCTCCACTTTAAAGGCCTTATTCATATCATGTGAGTGTGTCTTAGAGGAAGCTTTTCATCTCTGCTCCCTGGAACAAAACCAACATTTGAGAGAATAAAAAGGACCAAACATTATTACATCAATAAACTACATGAATATAAAATGTTGTTTGTACTGTGTGTGTTAGTTGCGGTTTTGCTTCAGTTTAACACCTTTAACTTATCTTGTCGATCACTGCACTCGCAAAGACAAACACTTCCTTTCTTTTAAAATGTTCCCTCTGAAAATAGAAAATGTGTCAAAGAAAGAGGAACCTGCAAAAGAAACTTTTCTCAGAAATCATCCTGCACATTAAATGATTCTGATGAGCAGCGTCTAATGGCAGAAACATGTTTAACATAAATAAAATATTAACATACAATATAAAGAAACAAAACAAGTAACTGACATGAATGAAAGACGTGGATAACAGGGAGTAAAGAGTAAATGTTTACATACACATTTGTATCAACAACTTATAATGTAAATCAGCGATTCCCCAGTGTGGGCCGCGAGAGGTCATTTACAATAAATAAATAAAAAGTTTTTAATTTTCAATTTTGAAAAGTTTGAAATTAATCTAAATATATGTATGATGCGGCACATTAGTTATGTGAAACATTAATTGATGAAGCACAAACAATTTAAACGAACAGATTGGTTAATCGGTTGATCCATACTGGTTGTACACTCTGCCAAACACGCCAAAGCTCGTCTACGACGGCGAGAAGCGCGTGAGATACGGAGCTGCTTTCAGGGCGCGTCGGAGAAACAAAGCTGTCGTTCTCGCCGAGCACTTCATGAGATTAAAGAGCAAGAGACGGCGCCCTTTTCTCTACAGTAGCTGAACCATCTTAACGGGGAACATAAGTTAATCTAAAAGCAGCCGAAGATTTTAGGCGTGGGGGGGCGAGGGGGCGGCGGGAGCGGACGCACCTCGCGGCATCGATCGGATCCTGAAAGCACCGTCTCCAGCAGAGATTCTCCTCGCGAGCAACAAAGTTCACGTCTCGCAAGCGAGCAAATACCTTGCGCGAGACGTACTTTTGCTGGCGGATGTTTGATTTACGCGCGCGCATCAACCTGATTTGCGCTCTCGAATTTTGACAGTGATTTGCGCCGATAGACTGCAGTATCTTATGCGCCTTATTGTGCGGAAAACACGGCACATGAGCTCCGGAGAAAATGGTATACAAAACATACATTGGCAGAATAATCAGTGTGCTTTCTAATTCTAGTTCTTACATGAGATCTCATTCAGTTCAGTATAACTTGAACTTAATTTAAGATATGCTTAGGCTATTTAGAGTCTATGCACCTGCAATGCACTTGCATAGCAAACCATTGCCATCTGCTACTTAACATAAGCTGCATGGCTGAACTGTAAATAACGCACCCTATAACATTCCAAATTGCAACGCAAAGACATCAGCGGTTAGGCCCGATGTTTTCTCCACGATACAGTGAGCACCAGTGTGGGGGTTTAACATTTACTCTATAAAATTAAACACGGTGTTAAGTATGGTAACAGGCTGCCAGCAACACTGATAACCACTCCGTTGCTACTCTGATTGGTTCCAAAGAGATAACGTTTCAAATAATAACCTAAAAACAGTATTAATTCTCTCCCAGGTTCGCTAGCATGATGCTAGTAATGCTAACAGTGACTTCCAGTTTGCAATTATTTGATGGGATTATGTCAGTTGACACTCTCAACTGGCTGTCTGGATGTCTAGTTGGAAAACAGTCTTAATATAATTAAATGTAAGCTATGATAATATTCTGAATGTTTTATATTATTTCTTACCGAAACACAGGAGCTTCTTTCCTTCACGTCTCCTGGAAGGATAAAAAAGTGAATCCTCGCTCGTGGGTATAGCTCCCTTGAGCGGAACGCAAGCGTGCCCCCCACTACTGGTATTAGTAGCCCTAACTTCATGAGGGTTATATAATACATCATGAAAAGTCACACATATAGTAAGTCAGAAAACATTTAATGTCCTTGTGTGTTGTTCTGTTGTCGGGTCGAAGGGATTGATCTTGATTTCTTCCACAAGCAATCAACTTTTTATAATTTGAGGAATCGCATCATTGGTAACGAGCTCCCAAACATCTCGGTGGACCCCTGATTAGTAATCGAGTCGTACCTGAACTGTGTGGTTCCATCGTTGCGTCTCTGACCCCACAGACCACGTGACTACAGCTACAGCCAAGGACATCCATCAGGAGTCCATCAGGAATCATCGCTCCACCCTATTTACTCCTTTTCTTCCCTTTAATTCAGGTTTACTTTAATGCCTCCTGGGGGGGTGAGGTGGCCCCGTTCATCCCCACTGGTCCAGAGGACATGACCGGCCCCGCCGCAAAGGTGAAGAAGGCCACTGGTCTGGGTCGGAGACGTGTTATATAGGTGGGGGGGATTAGTTTAAAGTGAGACGTTAAGTTCCAGAGTGTCATGGGGTGATAGAGGGTTGAACTCAAAAGCAGGATTCAGAGGATAAAAAGATTTTATTTTGGCAGCAGAGGGACTTAAATAGTTTGGGGTCCGTGGCCGGGGAAGATGCTGGAGAGGCAGAGAGGCACAGGGGTCCAGGCGGCAGGAGCAGTGCGGTAGATAGAATCCACGCTGGAGGGAGAGGTAATGATCCGGCTGGCTGGAGGAGTTCTCCCAAGCCGCGGAGGGCGACAGGGGAAACCGGGGAATTTGTCAGGTTCCGGGGAAGCAGGCTGGGATGGGACTGAAACACAAAAAAAGGTCAATGCAACAAAAAACTCTTTCCTTTGAAAATCAAAGGCTAGATTGGTCACACCTGACACAGGCTGCACGTCATAGGAAAGAGGAGTGAGAGACGAAGGGACAAACAAAACAGCAGATCCCTGGTAGCTGGACCTGTGGTGTCCTACGAGAGGAATCCTCAAAAGGACCTGCTGGACACTGACAGAGGAAGAATCGACCGGAGACCTTTTGGACCGCCCTGGACTACGGCTCGCCGTGTCGATCAGGAAAGATAAGTCTGTGGAGAAACACCTCTCCTGACTCTCTGGATTATCCAACTCACACTCACCACCTCACACGCACCCCCATCACATTTCTCCCCCCCTCCACCAGGTGGGGGCTGGACGGATCCAGAGTTGGCGGACTTCGAGCTGCTGGTGATCATGAGCGGCACGATTGAGCCGACCTCGGCCACCTGCCAGGTGCGCACCTCCTACCTGCCGGATGAGATCCTCTGGGGCTACGAGTTCCCCCCCGTGGTCTCCCTCTCCCCATCGGGGAAGTACGTGGCGGACTTCGGTTTCTTCGACAAAGTGGCCAAGACCAAGACGGCGCCCGTCTTCAAACCGTGCAGCCCGCAGCGCGCGTACCAGAGCAACGGGGCCGGGCCCGTGCCAGATGTGTCCGATCCAGAGAAGATCCGTCTGGAGCAGAACTACCGGGACAGAGGGGGGGAACGAGGCCGGGCGAGAGACACTCCCCTCAGTGTTCGCATCAGCAACGTGTGAACGGTGACGGAGTGGAAGGAAACATCACGTGGAAACAGCTCGGACACTTTTAGACTGAACGGAACCTCTGGACGACGTCTGGGGAGATAAAACATGGAGGACGACTGTAACTCACATGAAGGCCTAACACACTGCTGACTGCAGCTACTGCTTCTATTTCAGTGTGGCGAGTGCACACACACCTCACACACACTGTATAACAAAGGAAATAGCAGGTGGAGTTTTTAATTTGCACACTAACCCCCCCATGAAAACAAATAAAACAGTGATCTAATCAGGGAGCTGCAGGTGAACCCGATTCGTTTGGCTCCTCCCCTTTTTTCCAAACGTCAAACCAAAGAGAATAACCTGTAAGTTTACACAGACGGGTTCAACCTACAATAATTCCTATAAAATAATCATGATTATTACACACATGCTCCACACATTTATAGTCTTATGCATTTTAGTTTCTTCTCAATTCTCTGTTTATAATATAAAAACACAAATGAGTGATGTTAAGGCAAGTTTCACAAAACCCCAAAACACTCTCATGGTATTTTTATATTTCCTGTTGTACAACGACAGAAGACCTCGAGTTAAAGACACACAGACAAAATGACAACGCACTGTAAAATGTTAAATAAAGCACTTTCTGTTAATGTAGAACTACAAACTTCAGATTGAATATATTGTGTTGAAGCCTCGACTGAGTCTGTCGATGGTTTGTCTGTTATTGACAGTTAGCACTTTATATCATGTCATATAAACACCTGATGTACATTTGCACCTTTGGAGGATCAGCTGTTGAACTTGGGGCCTTAATGTAGGAAGATGAGCTTTTTGATGCGACTAAAACACTTTGATATTAAACAACATTGA